TTAAGAAGCGCCTACCAATCCATATTGATACCGTCTAAATGGGGATCAAGCTGTTTCGTGATGTTGGCATACTTAATCGCGCACTCAAGATCCTAGGCCTTGAAGCTTTCTTCCGCTGCACTCCTTCCAGTCTGAACATGGCGATTGAGTAAAGAGACACCAGTAATCCGTTGATTGTATTGAACTTAGCTTAGAAATTAGAATTGCTGATTGGATGGGTTCTTCCCTCTCTTCTAGGATCATAAAATTCTCCTCTTTAAAAGGAGGAAGGAAATCCTTTTTTAGGGAAAATTCCTAATGACTACCTGGCCTGTACTTTTGGGGTTGTGTCTAGTCAGTTCCTAAACTTTAAAATATGTCCTAGCAGTACCTTGAATTTTCAAATTGTGTCTAATAGGTTCCTACTGTTAGTTGATTATCAGTCAATACCATCATGTGACATTAGGTGTGTATTAAATAATTTCAAAATGCAAAAATTGCCCTTTATAATATTTTTTTTTACCATTTTACTTTTACCCATTTCGTTTGTGTGTTAAAAGAAGGAAAGGAAAAGAAGGGTTATAAAACCAAACACTGATCAACTGTTAAAGCTCCTACTCCCCGAACATGCAAAAGACCGCAGGAACTCAACATTAATGAACATGATGATTCTCCACCACAGTCGTCCACATTTGAAGTGCTACCATTTCAAAGTGCTTAGGTTTTGAATTGGTTTATGTGGAAGTAGCAGATAAAGAAAACTAGATGACACCTGATGGGTACTACTGTCATTTCACTTATCCATTAAAGGGATAAAGACCTATTAAACACAATTTAAAAGTTCAGACTACTACAAAAACACGTTTTAAAGTTTGAAGACTGACTTGACAAAACCCCTAAATTACAAAGTATTATCAAGAATTTTCCAGATCTACACCCCAACTGTTCGCATATCGTTACCCACAGGACATCTTCACCCATAACACACTACTGCCGTGTATTGAGAACATCTGCCATGAATGGAAAGGGAGAGCTCTTCACAGTGGATAGGGCTGTTCGGAACAGTCTGTCATCTCAAGTGGATTAGTACATATGGATCCCATAGATATCCGGTGTATGATACGTTAATTTGTCCATTTAAATTTTGAAAGGCATACAATAACAACTTCAAGTGTACGCGTGGCATTTTCTCAACCTATGCTAAGGGAGAAACTATGGCCTGGCCCATTTATATATTCAACGTCAACTGTAGTCTGTAGTAGCCCTTTCCTCCAGTTCGAACCATGTCACTAAAGAAGAAACCCGGGGCCCAAGTCCAGACCAAATCTATATGGACGTGGGCATGTGTTGACCCCATCAGGTCCTTGATTTACCATATTGTAGCTTTGTAGGTGGAGCGTAGATTTTAGAGAGAGAGAGAAGCAAGCAAAATAAATTTCCAAAATTTATGGTTCAACGAACAAATTAAATATTTAAATCAATCGTAGAGAAAAGATTAATAAAGTTCGTGAATTGTGAATACCCGCAATTGCCGACAAGCTAAGCTATCACATTCACATATACACCATTCCCCGACCCCGGTGCGTTGTTGCCATGGAATGTGAACACCTCCTGTGACTATGATTAGGGTACTCAATTCAATGTGACAGGTTTCTGTTAGCCACCAGATTTGGCCGCTCAACCAATTGTCCATTGAAGGGTTTTATTAGTGAGAACGATACTCCAACTTTGGACCAGTAATTCTCTGCATGGAATTTCATCCGGGTAGAAACAGGAATGCTTTTCCCTTTTCTCATAAATTTCCTTTTTTTTATCAAGAGAATGTTTTGGGTTGCCAGCATTTTGTATAAACATTTCAAAAATTTCCACTTTACAATCAGATAATATATATGATCCAAGTTCATCTTTATATTCGGTATTATGAGCGTTGGAAAACGGTTCACTTGGATTGAATTTGAAGTCGCCACCCATCAGTTATGAAAATAGAAGTGAAGGGAGTCATGAGACCTCCTAGAATAACATCAAAACTCATTTTTGTAGTGACTCCAAAACCCGAGGCATCAACTAACCAGTCCGGATAAGACTTAGATGGGAGGGGAAAGATGTTAGGCATCACCTCTCTTGGGTCCAGTATGTAGGGCCTACGTGGGGTTTTGACACAAGCATAAGCATAAAAAAAAGCAATCAATAAACCAAAAGCAAATCACAAGAGCAAGCTAAAAGAAAAATCCTCTTTATTTTTATTTATCTATTTTTTGCTGTTTTTTTCATTTTTTACTTTTATTTCCTTTTTCTTTTTTAGATTACATTTCTTTATTTTTCTTTATTATTATTATTTATCGTTTTTCGTTATTTTCTTTTATTTTTATTTTCATCAATTGTTTATTGTCTTTTGTATATTATCTTGTGCATGAAACCCTATTTATAGTTTATTTCATTGAATTATTTATTTTTATTTTATTTTATTTTATTTTTTGAGTATTTTCTATTTTCTACTTTTTTTAATTTCAGTTTTCCATTCTCCTATTCTATCTTTCATCCTTTATTATTATTATTTCATTCATTTTCGTATTTTCCTTTTTTACTAATTAATTTATTACTTGTCATTATTATTTTTTAGTTTGCTTTATTTATTATAACTAGGCCTTCATTCTTTTATCCTGTAAGCATGGCAACACCCGAATTCTTCCTAGCCTCTTCCTCTTTTTTCTTTCTTTTTTAATTTTTTTCTTGCAGTCAATTTTCCAACTATTGTATTATTTGTCTACGTTTCCCCATTTATTACTACTGAATTACAACATATCGAATAGCTAACTAACGAGAACCCCAACCACACAGCAATTAACGATTCAAACTATATACTGAGACCTAAACATTGCTACTCTTTCATCAAACCAAATCGGAACTTGATCTTCAAAGCAGAAATAGACTAGAATAAGATTAAACGCATGGACATATGATCAACCACATTCATGAGCTCATAAAATTGGTTTCAGGAAAAAGAAAAAAGACTAAGATAACATTATTAGCATTCAGTAATATTCATCAGAGAATGACAAAAAAGACTAGAGATAACCTCGTCGGCAATATTCAACAGAGCACGGGGTCAGTTTCGGAAAGAAATTAAAGAAAACAATGATGATTCAATCTCTGAAACAAACAAATTCGAATTGCATCCAACACTACTAACATCTAACACGAAACAAAGATCGGATTGGGTTGGGGATGAAAGTCTATGGGAGTGAATTCGATGGAACCTGCTCCATCGACCTGCTCCCCAACCTCAAATCCTCACTATCAAAGAAAATACAGAGAGGATTATCTGGGTGATTCCCGATCGACGGTAGAAATGCAGAAGATGAAAAACAATGAAGTTCAGACGGCGGTAGCTAGGCTTGGCTTTTCTTCGTCGTCTTCGAATACAGAGAACCGGAGAAACGAGAAAAAAATAGAGGAAGTTCAACCCACTTTAGCTTCGGGTACCTCTTCCTTGACGGATGTGACCCCAAAGGGAACAACCTACGCTGTCGAGACTGACCAGTTGTGATGAGCCGACTTGGATTGTCTGGCGAAGATGTTGTCGATGTTGCGTTTAGATTTCGTCTGAACAGGAGCTCGCTGCAACTCCTCTGTTTCACGATATAATGGGCTGTGAGGGGAGCAGGAGAGGAGACTGGGAGGAGAGGAAAAGAGAAGGGGGAAAGATTTCGGAGGGTGAGAAAGGAGTAGGAGTAGGAGGAGGGAAATGGACACGAGGGAGCTGGTATTCCGCTGTTGTTCGCTGAAGGACATGAATAGTGGCGATGAACCGTCTAATTGCGAACCCCGCTGTTGTTCGCTGAGGTGGATTGCAGTCCAAGACTCCAAGGGGGTCAACGGTATTCTTGTAAGTTTTGGGAAAATTAGGGGTAATTTTGTAATTTCATGAATTCAAGCCAAAAATGGCCCAAGGAGAGTCAACCGAGGTTCTGGTTCAATGGTGGGGGGTTTTGTGTCAATGATCATAGGGTTAAGATCGGTTTGACCCAGAGATGGGTTTTATGTATGCTGCCGGCTAGTGAGATTGGTTGAAATGAATTTTTTTTGGATGAGGGGGTAAATGGGGGTATTTTTGGCTGAAATTTGATAAAGTGGATTTTTTGGACATTATGAATTATAATTGATTGGTAAGGTCGGATTGGGTCAATTGGGCCCGAATTGGGCATATCTGGAGGGGTAGTGGTTTGATTGAAATGAAATCTTAGTGAAATAAAGGGGCAAAAAAAGGTATTTTGGACTGAAATTTTATAGGTGGGTATTTTAAGTTACCCAGGATCTGATGATAATGTTTGATTGATTCAAGGGGGTCAAGATCATAGGAATTTGGGCCAATGAATGGATCTGAAATGGAATCTTGGTTTGATGAAAGGGTAAATAGGGAAATTTTGAATTGAGATTCTATGGGTAGGTGTTTTTGAGGTTCTGAGTCTGATGGTGGTGTCTAATATGAGGGTCGAGATGTAAATGGGGGTTAATCAAGGCCATTGGATTGGTATCGGGTAGATTTAAGGGCTCTCGGGGCAAAATTTGAGTTCTTTGGGGTTTTTTTGGCGTTTCGGAAGGATTAGAAGAACTCAATCAGGTGTTTGGGTAAATTGGAGGTTCAAACAGTGGACCGAACAAAAACCAAATGCTGACAAGCATATACCCCACCACATCACAAAAATGGTTTTTAGATACAAAATACCCTTTTTATTGAATGCTATCAACCTATCATTGTTTAGGAAAAAGCTCCATCAAGGGAGTGGCCTTTTTTTATTCTTTTTTATGATTTAGTAGAAGACCAGAGTACGCTTTTTCTTTTCTATTTTACTTTATCATATTCATTTAATTAATCATTTATCTATTTGGGTTTCCGAAGATGTAATTCCAACAAACTATTTTTCAATCATAATGATAGGGTGACACAATAAAGAGAGGACTTAGTGAACATATAACTTTAAGGAATTCCAAATATCTTGAGTAGACAGTTGATCCGTATCTAAAGGTGGATAAGCTACTACTAGAATTCCAAAATAATTCATAAATCAGATCCTCTATACATGGAAACCCTGCAGTTGAAGTGAAGATACTGCACCTCATTGTCGTAATGAGTCCACACCCTCATTGTTGGCTCTTCACATATTAGTGAATAGTGATCACACGTGAACTTTCTTTTGTAACAAAATATGAACAATAATAGAAAATTCTTCCATTAGTAACCCTCAACAAAGACTACCACCCCCAATATCACTTTCTGGGCAAACTCATAGAATACATGTTTTTATATGTTTCTGCATCTGTATCACAACATTTCAAAAGATAATACTTGTTTATCTCTAAGGCTACGAGTGCAGGTATATGCACCCTTGCGTAACACTGTTGAGCAATTCCTTGATCCTTATTGCTTGTAATCTAAACCAGATCCATACTTCCAAGCATCAAGGTGTCGCTTCCATTCATACTTCCTTTTGTCTGGAAGTGTGTTTAGCCATGGCCTTGTAAAAGATAAAATATGAGGTCAAAATGAAAACATCTATGACTGGAAAGTTGTAAGATGACAGTTGTTCTAATGGATCTTCCATAGCAAACATTACTCTTTTTTTCTTGCTTATGAATAAACCTACTCTTCAGACAAACCCTAAACCAAACGAAAATTATCAGACCATTATTACCTTATGACAGGATCAATGAGGAGTGAGAGAAACGTATAATAACCCAGCATGACAAAATGTCCAAACCAGTCAAGAAGCACAGAGACTCCAACCTGAAAAGACAGATAATAACCAGGTTGGACCATTCACTCTTTATTTTTTTTTTTTTTTAAAAAAGCACATAGCTGAATCATCCATTCAAGCAGGTTTTGCCCCCCGTAATTTTTCAGGGGGATCCTCAATTGTCAGTTCGGATCATCTGACAGGAGGATACTTCACAGTTTATGGGAACTACAGACCATTTCAAAAGTTATGTATCACCATACCCAGGATATTGTATTCTAATTATCCATTTTCACATGTTCCTTCTCCAATTTTTCAGCATAGGACTTAGGAACTTATGGTTGTTTTTCTTTTAAGGCAGATAAAATGCCAAAAATTAAAAAAAAAAAGACAAAAACTCCATGTAGTAAATACAAATAAAATACCAAGTTCTGGAATATTATATTTCTTTTATGAGCATTAATAATTTTGCAATAGTAAAATAAGACTAATCTTATAAGCTTTGCAAAGGAAAACTCCTGCAGTACTTTACCTGTTTGAATATTGATGGAATAATTTGAGGTTTACTGAGCATAACTAAACCCAATGTCTTCACCAGAGGCCCAAATTGTATTACATCCTGCCAGAATACAGAGTATCAAACGGAACATGAGTTTGGTAAACTCAAGATGACCATCAAGATGATATGCTTGGCCAGTAAGTAGGGAAAGAAATTGCAAAGATAGAAAGCTACCTGAAGAAATGGTCTTAGTATTGGATCCCCTAGCCTCTGGTTAGAGAGAATCAATGGGCTTTGTAAGGAACAAGTATGTAAACTGGGGAAAAGGTATTGGAGTCATTAAAAAAAAGAAAAATAAAACACAATTTACCTGCATACAGTGAAAATTAACATACAGAAGCTCATTAATGAAATCTGGTGAGACATCAGCTTGTTGTTTTGCGGACATTGCTCTTTGAAATAACCAGGATGCACTTAAATTGGGCTGCACAGGAAAGAACTCAATTCAGATATCCAAAGATAAAGCTACATTATTGTTTACATGACAAGGAAACCAACCATGTAAGGATTTAATAGGGATAAACTGTACGAGTCAAGAAAATTGCCATTAAATGCTTCATATATTCCTGAATCCTCCAAAGAGAAAACAATATATTAGTTGAATTTCAGACATAATAAACAGTCTATATACATCAGACATTTAACTGTGAATTTTGACCTAGAAAGAAAATGTTGAAACTATTCAATTAATCAGCCAACTTTTGGATGAGCCATAACCTCAAGTAGCATTCATTTACACAATAATCACCTACTGAAGAGTTGCAACTTGGAGAATAATATATCTAGGATACAGGAAGATCTCCATAAAGTATCATTTGATTGCACAATATATATCTATATCTATATATATATATATATTATACATTTTACAACAGAATATACCAGTTGATAGTCTGCCAAGGTGACGAGTCAAACTCCCAAAACCACCAAATGAAACTGGGGATTGTATGCCACTAGCATCACCAAACTGCACAAAATGATTTGTCATACATGCATCAGATTAGACATATGGTTCCATGATTCTGAGGCTCATAAAATTATATAATATGGTAGTACATCACCTGTAGAATACGATCGAAAGAAGCTGGCAGTGGACTGTTAAGTTGATCCTCCCCCAATAAGAGAAACATGTCAGATTTAATGACTATAGTTGAAACAGTGGCTTAATGTTACAGGATGGAAATAGGCTGACATTGATTTAATATTTTACCATCCAAAGATAGACAAGTATTATAATCAAATGCAGTAAGAACTTAAATGTTTCATGGATATGAAACAGAGAGCTACTCTGGTGACAGACTTCAAAAGAAAGGGAAACCGCGGTGCTTATCCCCACATGTGTGTTCTTTGCCTCAAAAGTGGAGAATGTGCTAATCATCTATTCCTTTTCTTGTCATTGCACCAGCCAGGTATGGAGTCACTTCTTTGCTTTATTTGGAAAAAAAATTGGGTTGCACCACAGAATATTATGGACTTGTCTCACAAGATATCTTGGAATGCCACACAAAAAGAATGAAACTATTATGGCACCATGTAACGGCTGCAGAGTTGTGGAGCATTTGGAGGGAGAGGAATGCAAGGGTGTTTGAAAATAACGAAAAGATGTGGGAAGCTTAACAGAATTATCAAAGACTGTCCATTGGGTTTTAACTTGTGAGGAGTTTTTTATGATGTGAAGATGGATGACCTATTAAGAGGCTGGGACATTATTGCTAATGTGTCAAGTAGGAAGACCACAGAGGGTAATCAATTAGCAGCCAAGCTCAATTTCAATGGCTCATGCTTACGTAATCCTGGTCAGTCTGGTATGGGAGGGTTGGTAAGGGATGATAGGGGCACCATTATGTTGAGCTTCTAAGGTTCTGTGGGTTATGGAAACTCTTTGAGATAAGAGATGGTGGCTGTAATTCAAGGTCTAAACCACTGTGGTGGTTCCTCTAAAGCTGTTGGCACAGCAAAGTTGGAGAAATGTCTTAATTGAAGGGGATTGCCAAGTTGTTATATCTTGGCTTGATGTTGAAGAGGAACCACCATGGTGGTTTAGAGCTTTGGTTAGGGAAGCCAAATCCATTGGATTTAGCCTGAACTTCTCATTCAGGTAGATCCCTAGATCGGCTAATACCCTAGCAGATAGCTTAGCTAGAGCAGGAGTTGTAGAGAAACAGTATAGTAGAGTTATACCCTGCCATATTCGTTATTTCTTTATTTACCTTCTGTTATCTGTTAGGGCCTTGTCATGGGCCTGTTAATTGGGCCTACGTTAGTTACTGTTATATCTGTTAAGTAGTGTCTTAGTAAGCAGGGGTATAGTAGTCTTTGTAATCTATTTATGATAGAAACCGATAAATATCAAATCCGGGCGGCAGAATAGTTTGACCTGCTCCCTTATTTTCATTCTTTTCTCCCCTCTTCTCTTATTCTCTTCCTCTCTTCTCTCTTCCGTTTTTCCTTTTTCTTTCTGTGTTTTCTTGCAGAAACTGAACAGAGTACAGGCCGAAGGTGATCAATATCAGACTTCTTGGTATCAGAGCAAGGTGTAAGACCTACTAGGGTTCTCATGTAGTCTTGTTCCAGCCGGCTACGTGAAAATAGACGAGGGCTGGATTTTTGAGTCAGATTTACCTGATTCTTGGAGGTTTGTTGGAGTTTGTGCTGCCCAAAATCTGGAATCTTGGAGATCATCAACAAAACAGGAAGCATCAGGGTTGTCTTGGATCAGATTAAGGTTCAGGAGTTAAACCTTCAGTTGGTGCTGGCACATAGGGTTTTTTGAGAAAAAAAATAACTCTTTTTCTGAGACCAACAGCTTGGAGGAGACTGGGCATTTCAGGAAGGTACGGCTAGGGTTTTCTGAGTAGAAATCAATCTTTTTTGAGATCAGCAGCTAGGAGACTGGGCTCTCCTGGAAGGTGTGGTTGATTTTTTCTTTGATTATTTCTAGGGCTGGTTCCAGTTTTTACTGAAAAAGGTGCGGCTGAACTTTCTTGATTATCTCTAGGATCTTGGTATGAAAAATATCAGTTTTTTGAGTGCAACAGAATTTTTTCCTTGACAATCTCTAGGGATAGTGCCAGACTTCGCTGAAAACATACCTAGTTTAGGGTTCTGGGTATTTCAGAACTGTTTTTTGTGCTCGACTGCTATAAACTACTGAGAACAGATCAGCTCTAGGGTTCTAAGCATTCTAGAACTGTTTTTTGTTGGGATGAACTGCTATACAGACTCTTTTTCAGCCTCCTTTTTTTTGAATATTTGTGAACCTTGGTGGTGTGGTTAGCATGGAGGCAGTTGGGAAGGAACCAAAACCACTTGGGGAAGTATCTATGGGGTCTAGAAGTATGTCAGGCAACACTTTTCAGATCACTATTGTTAAATTTGATGGGACAAATTACTTGGAATGGACTCAATTGGCCATGATGGCCATAGGAGGAAGGGGGAAACTGGGATATGTAACTAGAGACACAAAACAACCAGCAAAGAAAGATCTAACTTATCCTAAATGGGTTTAGGAAAACTATCTAGTGATGACTTCGCTGTGCAACTCTATGCAGCCTCACATCAGTAGAAATTATTTATGGGTGAAAATTTCTAAGGAAATTTGGGAGAATATGAAGGAAACTTACTCATAGCCCTTGAATGTTGCTAGGGTCTATGAGCTAAAAAGTGAAGTGAATATAACCTTAAATAGGGGAAGCAACTTGTATCTGTATATTTCTCCCCTTTGAAATATTTGTGGCATGAGATTGATCACTTGGAGACTATTGAATGGGAAAGCGAAAAAGATGCAGCAACATATAGGAAGCTGGTTGAAACAAATAGAGTGTTTGAATTCCTTATTGGACTTGATTCAGAATATGACATTGTGAGGCAGCAGTTACTTACTAGGGACAGTATTACTTTGTCTCAGGCCTATTCACTAGTACATAGTGAAGAGAGTAGAGCAGATTCCACCCATGGAATCAGCCTTGGTAGTAGTGAAACCAAAGCCTATTGGTAATAAGGAGAAAGAAATAAAGAGGAAAGACACGAGGGAGATGGTTTGTAATTATTGTAAGAAGCCAAAGCACACTAGGGACACCTGTATCCCCATCTTATCCTAGCAAAACTTAGGAATAAGAAGGGTAGTGCAAATGCAATTGTTACTTCTGATGGTGCATCTTCCTCTACTACAAAATCTACATCCCTAGATGCCTTAGCTGCAGTCAGAGCTGCCTTAACTCAATTAGAGTGTAAAGTTGGACCCTTAGGATCATCCCAATCATCCAGATCAACTACTACTACTACTCTCACTTCAACTTTTGCTCACTCAGATACAAGAGCTACTGCCTATCATGCTTCAACCCTAGGTAATTCTAGTCCTCCATGGATTATTGATTCAGGAGCTTCTAACCATATGACTATTTTATCTTTTGTATTTATTTCCTATTTATTATCTTCAGGCAGAGACAAGGTTTTTATTGCCGATGGTTCCCTTGTACCTATTTCTGGCAAGGGAGATATCAGAGTTTCTAATTCCATCTCCTTGTCTTTTGTCCTTCATGTCCCCAAACTCAGCACTAACCTAATTTCAGTGAGTAGCACTACTAAAAACCAAAATTGCTCAATAACCTTTTTCCGTGATCATTATGTCTTTTAGGATCTGGTAACAAGGAAGGCGATTGGGACCATGGTTTTAAATGTCGCTGATGTCGCCCAACACATGTCGATGTCGAGGCTCACCGACATGAAAATGGATGGTAATATAAAAATTACATTATGTCGGTCGACCAAATCGGTCCAAATAACCAAAAAAAGATATAGTTTTTCCTATTTTGCTGACAAGATGTCGACCAATGTCGACTAATGTACATTAAAAATATAATATATTAGTATATTATATTAATATAATACAGTATATTAATAAAGATTATTTCATTAATAATTTCTATTTAATATTTCAAATAAAATATTTATAAAAAAGAATTAACAAAATATAAAAACAAAAGAATAAATTAATTACTTTATAATATAAAACATAAAAGATTTTTCAAGTAATAAAATATTAACTAGTTAGTATTTTTTTTAAATATTTATTAAAATTAGAAAATGTTTATTAAATTTTATAATAAATCATATTCTACATTGACTTTTAACCTGTTGTACGATAAGGACCAATTCACTATTCCCCTTAAGACTTTTGGGTGCATTTGTTTTGTTCAAATCCTTAGACCTCACTGTTCCAAATTTGATTCTAAGGCAGCCAAGTGTATTTTTCTTGGATATGTACAAAATCAAAAGGGGTATTGTTGTCATGATCCTATCACTAGAACTTATTTTGTGTCTATGGATGTTTTGAAAATATCCCTTATTATTGTAGGATTTCTTCTCAATGAGAGAGTGGTGAGCAGGGTGCTTTTGCTCAATAAGTCCCTTTGCCTATTCTTGTTACTGAGGGGAAGAGTAATGAGGGAGGTTGTTAGAAGTGCAAGGAGTTGAGGGTGTTTCACAGACAATGGTGGAAACAGGTTGGTTCCAATCATGAGCAATTTAGGCCACTTCCAGTCACTTCTGCGACTCCATATTCACATATTACACCCTTTGTACCCACAACTGTTGTAGAAGATATGCCTACCACCATCATTGAACCTTAACCACCCACAAATGATTTTGACCTTCCTATTGCAATACACAAAGGGAAACGTTATTGCACCTCATCAACTACCCATTGCATCTCTCAGTTTCTTTCTTATGACCACCTCTCACCATCATACAAGTCCTTTTTGGTGTTCATTGTTGTTGTACCCATTTTCAGAACAGTGCATGAAGCCCTGGTAGTATCTGAGTGGAAAGAAGTAATGAAGGTAGATATGGATGCATTTATAAAAAATGATACTTAGGAGCTAGTAGATCAACCAAGAGGAAAGAAACCGGTTGGGTGAAGATAGATATTTATTGTCAAGTACAATGTAGATGGCTCAAATTGAAAGATACAAAGCCCAACTGGTTGCTAAAAGATACACACTGACTTATGGTATTGATTATGTAGAAATCTTTTCACCAGTTGCCAAAATGAACACAATCAAAGTGATGTTGTCACTTGCTGCAAATTTCTCATAGTCGTTATTTCATATGAATGTTAAGAATGTTTATATGAATGGTGATCTCTAGGAAGAAGTATATATGCAGTTGCCCCTAGTTTTTATGATGAAGATAATGGAAAGAAAGTTTGTCGACTTAAGAAGGCTTTGTATGGTTTGAAATAATCCCCAAGGGTAGAGGTGAGCATTCAGTTTATTTGGTTAAAAACCGAACCGAATAAACTGAATTTTTTAAAACCGAAATATTAAAATGAAAACAGAAACCGAAACTGATTTTCAATAAAACTGAAATTTTTGGTTCGGTTTTCAGTTATTTCGGTTAAAAACCAAATTTAGTTATTATTATATATAATGTTATATATTATAACCTATAATATATTATAAAATTTAATTTCATTATAATAGATTATATATAATATACTAATATATAGATATATAGCATATTATATATTGTATATTATATATTATATATTATATATTATATAATGAATTTTAGCTAATTCGGTTCTTTTGGTTAACCGAATTTCTAAATCTGAAAACCGAAACCGAAAACCAAAATTATTAAAAATCGAATTTCTTAAAAACTGAAAAAACTGAAACAGAAATTTTCGATTCGGTAATTCAGTTTTAACTGAATAATGCTCACCCCTACCCAAGGGCATGGTTTGGCAGGTTTAGACGTGCCTTGGAAAAAATTGGCTATGTACAGGCTCAATCAGATCACACCCTATTTTTTAAGAAAACAAGTTCAGCCCCAACTCTCCTAGCTGTATATGTTGATTATATTATGGTAACAGGCAGTGATGTGATGAGATTGATTCCCTCAAGAAGTTATTTAGTAAGGAGTTTGAAGTGAAAGATTTGGGTGATTTGCAATATTTTCTAGGAATTGAAATGGCTAGATCTAAGCATGGCATCTTCATTTCTCAAAGGAAATATGCCCTTGATCTCCTAGAAGATATTGGAAAATTGGGAGTTAAATCAGCAAACACACCAATTAAGCCAGATCATAGGATAAATGCAGAAGGAAGTGAGTCACTTGAAGATAAAGCCATGTATCAGCGACTGGTTGGAAAGCTTCTCTACCTTTGCCTAACACGGCTAGATATTTTTTATACTGTCAATGTAGTCAGCCAGCATATGTAGTCTCCCAGAACATCCCATCTTCTTGCAGTTGAAAGGATATTTGCCTACTGAAAGAATTAAATCAGCAAACATATCAATTAAGCTAGATCATAGGATAAATGCAGAAGGAGGTGAGTCACTTGAAGATAAAGCCATGTATCAGCGACTGGTTGGAAAGCTTCTCTACCTTTGCCTAACACGACTAGATATTTTTTATACTGTTATTGTAGTCAGCCAGTATATGTAGTCTCCCAGAACATCCTATTTTCTTGCAGTTGAAAGGATACTTGCCTACTTAAAGAGGTGTCTAGGTAGAGGTATACTCTTCAAGAATAATGGTCATATGAAGATATAAGTGTATATTGATGCAGGTTGGATTAGCCATGTGGATAATAGGAGATCTACCTCAGAATACTATGCCCTTATTGGAAGCAATCTAGTTTCTTGGAAAAGTAAAAAACAAAATGTAGTTGCCCACTCTAGTGTTGAAGCAGAGTATAGATCTATGGCTAATGGGGTGGCTGAAGTGTTATGTCTGAGATCACTACTTGAGGAGTTAGATGTTGAATATGAAAGACCACTAATGTTGTATTGTGATAACCAGATTGCTATTAATATTGCTTATAATCCCATACAGCATGATAAACCAAACATATTAAGGTGGATTGACACTTTATTAGAAAAAGAATTGCCTCCCAAGAAGTTTTCCTTCCGTATATTGCCTCTGATATGCAGATTGTTGATGTCTTCACCAAAACAGTTACAAGGGTCAAGTTAGAGAAGATTTATGCAAATTGGAAATAACCAATATCTATTCCCAACTTAAGGAGGAGTGTAGAGAAATAGTATAGTAGAATTATACCCTGCCATATTAGTTATTTCTTTATTTACCTTCTGTTATATCTGTTTGGGCCTTGTCATGGGCCTGTTAATTGGGCCTACATTAGTTACTGTTGTATTCTGTTAAGTAATGTCTTAGTTGGCAGGGGTATAGTAGTCTTCGTAACCTATTTTATGATAGAAACCTATAAATATCAAATCTGGGCGGTAGAATAGTTTGAACTACTCCCTTCTTTTCATTCTTCTTCTCTCCTCTTCTCTTCTTCTCTTTCTCTCCTCTCTTCTGTCTTTCCTTCTTCTTTCTGTGTTTTCGTGCAGAAATTGAAACAGAGTACAGGCCGAAGGTGATCAATATCAGACTTCTGGAGTAATGGCACAAGGATATATTTGGGGAATGTCAAGGCCTGGGGTGAATTTGTAACTTGAAAGTGATTTTTTATACATCTGTGTATGGTCAGCTTAAGTTGTTTGTTTTGTTTCCCCTGTTGTCGAGCCTAGACATGCATGGGTGTTTCTTTTAAGGCAGATAATATAATTTCACTGTTATTTATAAAAATTATTGTTGGTTACAGAAACATATAGTTAAAATGATAATAGTAGTATACGTTCAAATTATTGTCAAATACGTGGTGTAATGGTAAAATCATAGGCTGGAAATTCAGAACACTGGTTTAAATCTGAGGGTAGACACTTTGTGCCAAAAAATGTCAAAGGTTAGGATTGTACCCAGTCCACCCCTCCCAAGACTCCCCAGATAGCTGGGACCAACATTCGGTAATGGCATTTTACTATGTAAGCAAATGGATAACAGGATTTGACATTGGGAACTTATAGTAAAAATTAATATAAATATGATATAAGATTGGGGAATGAAGGAAAAATGAATGTCCTTTATCAATTACTGGCTGCCCATGAGACTCTTTTAACTGCTACAAGAAGCCAGTAACAATTCAAACTTATAGAACACATTATTCATATAGAAGCCCAGAAACAGCAAGAGTTGTCCCAAGACATGCACTCAATACGAACCCACTAATACAATTCTTCAATGATGATTTTCAATGATTTTCAAAATAAGGCTGCTCAGTAGTTTTTTTCCCTTTGCAAAAGCCATTGCGCAGTTAACTAGTGAGCATATTGTACTGTCTCACTGTTGCAACTTACAAGCATTCAGCAAAACAAAATCTTAAATGCAATTTGTGTAGCAGGTGCACCTTTTACCTGTCACAATATGTAGGGAAAATGCCAAAAATAACTCTAAGTATCTCCAAATCATCAAGCAAGACTCCCTGAAAATCATGGATACAGCCAAAACGTCTGTTAAATAGGAGGTTATCAGCTAAAACTGAAGATGGATTTTAGCTTTGTACTCCAAAGTTGATGTTCATCTGGAATTCGTATGCGTCATGGGTTTACATTCCGAAAAACAAATGCAGTAAGAAAAAAGGCTTCCTAAAAGTTTATCATTTTTCTTTACGTGCACCTAGAAAGAAATAATGTTGAGCTATCAATTTATGTTGGAAGCTAATGGAAGTCACAATGGCTATAAGCCTTTCATCACATATCAGAGACAGTTTTTGTAGTTAAATATAGTAACAACAAAAAAAAAAACACCTCAGAGAAATAAAAAATGTTATCAATAAGTGTTTGTCTTTTTCAAAAAAGTAAAAGTAACCCCCCCCCCCCTAAAGGTCATTTTTCTCCTCTCTCCCTGACTGGTTATACTAACTGCATGATTATATCGATTAAAAAACAAGAAGCTGCTCTCAGATTTGAGTATTTTAGTTTCCCTTCTTTTAATATCTCTGGATATGACAAATTAAATTGAATTCTGGCTGCCAGGCACCAAGGACCCTAGGATTTTTGCTCTCATAGTTCAATAAAAACATTTTTACTCACCAAGAGTCTTTCAATAGGCTGTCTAACATTTACAGAGACTGACATTATAACCAATTGGGCAAAGAAATTGGATTAATATCCTTTAACATAACAAAATTAAGAAAATAATTATGAGAAATAGGAACAAAATTTACAAATAAATTTAATGAGTTTATTTTATCATAACTAGGCATTTGTTGTAGTTACTAATCAATAAGAAACTGAATTAATTTCATTTGAAATTTAAAAGCAGGAAAACAATGATCACTAGGAAAAGCAGCCCCAAACTATATTAAGGTGAATGAATTAAGGACCTGAAATTTGTGGATGTTGATGTACAGAAAGACAAAATATAATACTGTCTATTGGGTCTTAGAAAGCAAATAGTCCAAACCAGCCCCCTCCCCCAGCAGAAAAGAATGAAAAAAAAAAAGATTATAAAAGGAGGCAATACCATAACTTGGAAGCATAATTGCAATGAGCATGGAAGAATACAATTAATAACCTGATAAGCAGGCATAAGATCCCAATAGTCTTCCAGTAGTTCTTCCAATTTTGGGCATCCCGGTTGAGGATCAACGTAAGTGAACATATAAGTAGTTCTATCAGTGGGACCTGAGCCAGCGGGAAATGCCTGTGAAAAGTTCATAATCTCAATTCCCATATACAAAGAAACCTCTGATTCAAGCATTTAAGAGCCTCCGGAATAAAATTAATTCACCTCCCAAAAATAATGTACTTGAGAATTCCCAACTTTCTTCACTGATGAACTACTAAAAATTACATCACTTGTTGAGTTTTCTTTGAAACCACGAGCACAAGAACCAACAACTAGGCAAACACCATCTGGCTTCCTTCCTGATCTGATCTGTTAATAAAATCCATAATTAATGATTCAAGAAATCCAATTATATGTGGATCAAAAAAATATCCATAAAGTTGCAAAATAACAGGCTAGGCATCTTCACATATAGTACATGTAAAAATTGCATATAGAACTCTATGTATGGAAGAATCATGCATCCATAAGCTAGTAGGACCATTTTGTGCATGCATCATGCATGTATACAGTTTGTTGCATAATTGTGACAGCGATAATAATCTGCATCATTTAATAAAAAAGAGAAGCCATATCAAGGCTTCAATCAAACATGTGCAAATATGTGTTTCAATAAATGCAAGTGTTGAGCATAGGTAATCCTACATGTGCATGCTCTCAGAAGGATTCACACCATTGGTGTGAGAGAGAAAGAGAGAAGCTATATTTATAGCCACTGATCATGACAATAACTGCATATATGCCTAACTGTATGTATGTAATAATAATAACCACAAAAACAGACCTGTTTTACCACAGGGGAGAAGTTTCCCATTGCATCAATGATGAGGCGCGATGACAAAATTTTTCCCTCAGTAAGTTGCATAACCTTATAAAGCACAAAGTCATTAGTGTTCAAACTTTTAAAGCAATGCATTTATAGAATATTAAGCATTCTAACATTCAGGTTGAACAGCAAAAATCTGAAAGGAATACAAAGAATGCATAACTTCAAAATTTAACGTTCACACAATTGACATTAGTTTCAGGACCCTCTATGCTAACATATTGAACAGAGATTAGATGGATGCCCCAAATTTGTTGCTATCTGATTTCCTAAACTGCCAAAGCAATTCCAAATTGATGTCAATCACTTTAAGCATATAGGAATTCCATCTCTATGCATATCTGATGCCATTCTTCTGTATGTGCCTAAAGTCATTTTAATATGACTTTCAGTTATTAGTCATGTCTTGAACTATTTGCATAAATTTTTAAAATGTATTTTTCTCTTTATCCCTTACTGTTCTTCCAGATCACTTTTGGAGGTTCAACTCTTCATTCAGTCTCATAAGGTCTCTGTAACAAAGGTTTTAAATTCTGGTACTAAACCAAAGTTCAATCTGGTGAAGCAAATATCTTTCTGAACTTCATTCTGGTGTCTCTTGAAATCAGAAAATATTCCCCATTTTCAAGATACCCAATAAAATGGGGCTGATTGGACTTCTTCTGGTGTCAGTAGACTTATTAATTAACTATCCAGTTTGTTGTCACCCATATGCATGGAACAATTCACCAATAAATTCATAGGGTCAAACAGCCAGGGAGCAAATATCCCTGGCTCTTCTATTATTATTTCTTTATGAGTAGGGGTGGACATGAATCGAGCTTTTTACGATTTATTCGAGCTTGGCTTGTGAAAAGTTCAATTTGGCTTGTTTTAAACCGAGCTTCGAGCCGATTTCAAGCCAAATAATGTAGGCTTGTTTGCTAATTGAGTCGAGCTCAAGCCCAATGAAGCTTGGACCACAGTTGAGCTCGAATCGAGCTGAGCTTGAACATATGAGCTTTTGAGTCAAGCCGAATTCGAGCTCAAGTCTCTAGCTCGAATCGAGCTTGAGCTTCATATTCTTTTGGCAAGCCAAGCTCAAATAGCCAAATATTCGGCTTAGATCAGCTCGAATTCACCCCTATTTATGAGTTCAAAACAAGTTTTACATGTTGATACTCTTAGTTTCAATATTGAAAAGGAAACCATAGTTTTAAGTTGAAAAATGGCAATTTGATTACATTAATAAAATCACAACTTTATAAGTTTCAAATTTTGGGTTTTGTTATTTGATTTCAGCTAATAAATAGTTTGATAGAGAACTATGAAGAATGATTTGAAGATTCTATTTGGGTCAATAAAGACCTTCATGTCTAACTTTCTAACTGTACATGCGAAACCACCTATGAATTATGATTTGAAATTTGTATTCTCCCTATGATTGTTTAAGTTGCTTAGTTGCTGCATGGAACTTCTAATCATGTTCCTTATTAGGCAGGGTTCTCTTGAATCAGTTCAGTATTGAAACAAATCCTGTTTGGGTTGAGCAAGAAGATTGACAAGAAGCTTGCCACAAAGTAATTGAGAATAGGTATTTTCTACCTGTTGCATATTAACTATAAGTGTGCTTAACATGGGGAGAGGTGGAGACCATACAATTATCACACCTAGGCAATCCCCTGAAATAAAAGCTAATATGATCTATTTTATCAGCAATAAAAGTAAATGTGATTTCATAATTAAATCCATCTTATTTACCACTTGATCTAATATTTTTCACCATCACAAAAATAATACCCAGAATGTGGAAGGTTTGTCTGTTTCTGCCATTGGTAGATTATTTTAGAGTCAAATCAATGGCTACCCTAATAATGAATGCTAATTTATGTGAAAAATAATACAGAAATAAATTGTAGAAATACTTTTAATACATCTGAAAAAGGATGACATTGAAATCAGCTGATGAAACAAAAGATTGGATAAACAGTAAAAAACATCAGTTGAATAATAGCATAATATTAATCAGCAAAAGTTGATGAGCATACCGCAGAATCCTCATATATGGATATGTTAGACACACTATAACCCTCCAAAATTACTCCGCCAAGGGAAGTAAAACGTTTCTTCATGATCTCTATAAGCTTAAATGGCCTATGCTGACAGATAGAGAAGAAAAAAGTAGTGATTATATTCCTAATGATGAGATAAGGTTTAGAAAGGAAAACCCGATACCTATGTTACATATCAGTGTAAAGAGACTGGGCCGAATGGGTCCTAGTATCTTCTCTTGTAATATCTTTTCTTTTCTTGTTGGCTAATGGGCCTGTTATTTCTTTTTGTTTAATCTCTTTATGTTATTGCCTAGCTGGCTGCCCACTTAAGGGCATACTTGTTATTACTCTAACATTAATTCTTAATAAAAAAGGATTAGAGGAGAAAGGGAAGATAATTCAAATCTTCTTCTTCTTCTTCCTTCTCTTTTTGCCATCTTCTTCTCTTGTACTGCTGCTCTTACTTCTCTTCCTTTTTTCCCTCTAATCTTCAAATTTACACCTAATATTTGAGGACTGATTTACATCTAACAGTATCAAATTTTCTTACTACATATAAGATATGAACAAATATATACTCAATTAAGGCATGAATTTGTCAGGAATAAGCTAACCAAAAACCGATAGTAAGTAATAGCATCATAATATATAATGTAGAAAATAGTTTTTAAAGCATTAATGAAGCTTATAAAGATTGAGGACTGAATAAGCCATTCACTTATAGATTGTTTAGAAAACATATGGTGTAATATCATTTCATTTTGGACTTTCATAGCATTTCAAAGCTTACCTACCAAGAGAAGAAAAAGGCATGCGAAGGCACAGGATCATCATCTAAAAGACTAAAAATGGATCAATTGCAAAAAAAAATCATAGAAATAGAAATGATTATTTTTTATATTATATTAGCATCCTGATAATGATTCCATTTTGGAATATGTTACTGAGATGTAGAAAGGACATAGCTGAACAAGAATAATTAATTTCAAATATTATCTAATACAATTTTAGATGATAATCTAATGCTTTCAAATGCTGTAAATAAAAAAAAAAAAAAAAAAAAAACATCATTTAATTTCAAGTGAATTTTCTTCACCCTCTTCTTGTTGGTAGTAAGGTTAAGCTGTTAATTTTCCAGTTATTATAATGTGAAGATGGGTTTGAATTGAATCTGTTGTAAGCAATGTTTTAAAACTCAGCCTGGAGGATGAACCATTTTCCTCTCCAAGTGGATGGGTCACCGGTTCAACCATCTGGGCCAATGGGTCAACATGCGACACCATGACAATAAAAAAATTCAAAAAAAAAAAAAAAAACTACTAACCAAGTGAACAGGTTGAATGGGTCAGCAGTTCAATCATACAGGTAAATGGATCGTATTGTTAAACCACAAGAAGGTCTATTAGAAAAGCCGCCCCCCCCCCCTCCACCCAGCGCACACAATTTGTGAATGCATTGCTGAAATTGGACCAAGTATGGGAATTCCTAGAAACCACAAGATGAGAAAACCATGCATGCAAATTCCACAGATCTGATGACAATTATTCCATTTAGTAGTTGTTGACATAAAGGTTTTAGAGTTTGCACCATTTAGTTAATGGTTGTAAAGTGCCAAAAGAATCCCATGAAACAAATTATCTATTATAATCAAATAAAAAAATGCATTTCCCCTCTGAAACATTAATACTTCCTACCCAAACAAAGAAGTCAATAAAGAAAGATACATAGAAACCTTCACTATCCTAAAATGTGTACAGCAACTTGCTCAGATCCAAGAGAGTTCCAATAAATAATTCAAAACCAGGTCATTATTACTGGAAACAAGATAATTGAGAGACTCAAGGCACACAAGTACCTTGAATGGTAAAAGTAGGAACATAACACTGGTTTTGGCACACTCTTTGGGGTTACTATAAACCTTATGCATTTAACTTAAAAACCATGAGAGAGAGAGAGAGAGAGAGAGAGAGAGAGGGAGAGAGACTAGTATCATACCAAAACCACAACCAAAGAGGGTGGGGCAGAATGAAGTAAGTTATAGATTGAAGATACACTACCATGAAAATTCAGAGATATGAGATATGTGACTTACGAAATACCAAGGTTAAGAATGTCCTCAACCCAAACCTCACCTTTCCCCTCAAATCCACATCTGTTCTGTAGAAAGCACAAAACATAAACAGTTACAAATATATCCCATATGGGATACAGAAAACTATATGAGGAAGAGTACTGCAGGGTATTACACTGCATCCTGGTTTCTGTATGCAAGACATAAGTTCTTATCCAGCCATCCAATAAAGGTCATTACCTTACATTGGTCCCAGCTATCTGGAGTCTTGGGACTTGGGAGGAGTGAACTGGATGAGGACCTAATCTTTAGCATTCTTGCACAAGACTCAAGCCAGCATTCTCATGCTTGGCATCCAGGACTTTACCATTGCACCACAAATGTCCCCTTCCAGCCATCCAATGGCTTGGAAAGTAAATAAGCACTAACTTTCAAGTTCAATAATTTCTTGGAGCTAGACTTTCCACAAAGTAAATGAAAGAATTTCCTAGAACTTGGTGAAGATAGTCAATTCAAATAGGAATTTGTTTCATTGGTGCAGTCTCTGAACTATGGCCCATTTGGTTGTGGTATTTGGACTCCTGAGGTTGATGTGCAGATGCGTGCATTCACCGCACATCTGATCTGACCTTGCATCACCAACTCCTAATAAATGTGTATAAAGTTCAAAAACTTACAGGATTAAACTTTGCTGCTGTAATTTGTTCAATTTCATCTTCTACTAGAATGCCAGCCTCAACAAGTTCTAAGAGCTCTTTCCTTGAGATATTCCATTCTTGTTCTCTCTGTGTATTTCATAATAAAATGTTCTCTCTCAGTGCATTTCAAGACTTTTGAGCAATGATGTATGTTATGAAGTATTTTGAGAATAAATATCACAGTATACCCCCTTTAGTAGATTCCTTTCCACAATGCCTACTCGAAGGCCTTTGATACTCAATGCTGTAGCAATAAATATGCCCAAAGTACCCCCACAGACTATTATGTCAAATGTATCTACTGCTCTTTCAGACATATCAGAATGGCTAAATAAACCTGGAATACAAGAGACTACGTTCCACTGTTCCTGCGGAGCTGCCAAAATATTCATATTAGTTGATATAAAGTGGTTGTATTGTTTCAGTCATATTCATTCATATAATTACAAGTCTATTTCAGAGAATTTATGTGTTAAGAATATACCTGCAGGTGCAGAGCAAATACTTGACCATAATTGGTCCAACCTTCTTAAAGCATTATATGAGTAAGCCCCACCAGCGCCCCCTACTTCACTACTTATTGAAATACCTTCCATTATTCTCTACAAAATTGAAAAAAGCGTGCCTAGAATTTAGGCCATATTCAATGTAGAACAACAGACTGGCAAGATCGAACTGTATCTATCTATCTATCTATCAAACTGAAAAAAAAAAAAACAATTCAAATAGAAAGAAAATGTATGATCAGAGAAAAACACAAAGCATGCAACAGAAAAACAAAAGAAAAAGAAAAGGAAAGAGTTTATAGAAAGGAGTACTCATAACACATAAGGACCCAGAACACCCAGAAATAGCTAACCCATCCAATATGCAAATTACCAGACTTGGAAAACAAGAGAATTCTGATCATAAATGTACCAAAGCCCTTTGGAGTATGACATAGCATACAAGTAATAATATTCTGGCAATCCAAGTGCATATCATTTGCCTGAAGGGGAATGACCATGATGAAGTTTTATTGAAAAATTAACCCTTGTTTCAGTAATGGTCAGACTACCAATGATAATGATAATTATCTGTCTTTATTCCCTGTTTCATTGTGAATTCCACATCAACAAAACAATAACTTGCATCTTTTTACGAATTGATGATATATATATATATATATATCCCTTTTTCTCTTCCCTTACAGTACGAAAATTAGTATATCCATGCATTAAGAATTCTATCTTTTTTTATACAAAGCCTCTAGGCTGCAAGCATAATACGCATGCACTTTTTTCTGCCTTCTCTTTAGAATATTTGCACATTTCTTTACATATCCCATCATTTAATGCAATATAATACTTTCTATAGTGGAGTCTTTATTTTTATGTGCACAAACAATAACTAGAAATTTTCAAATTGAATAACTTACTGCCCCTTAGATGGAGCCTATATGAAAATAAATTTCTCAAGATTTATTTCAAAATTTTAATCAACTTTCAGGTCCATATATTCCATATTTAGAATATGCCCAAGCTAAATACCCTAACCCATTACAGGTGCTGTCACTTCTACTTCTCTCAAGGTGCACATATAGAAATAGATTTGGTTTAATATACGAATGTAAAATTTTGAATTCTATGAATGATAACGTTTGTTCGTTTGTTACATAAAAATTCGGTAAGCTTACAAAATTCTATAGGAAAACTGAGGTTAGGAGAAAAATTCTAAGAAGAAATTAATAACAAAATGGTTCATAATAAATTTGTAATTGCCAAAGCAGAGGTACAAATACAATTGAATTTTTTTTTTTTTTTTCAATTTGAGGAGCAAAGAAGAAGAAGCACCCCCCCCCCCATGATTAAAGGAATGAAACACACAAAGCCTATATTTGTTAGGCACCTATAAATGAGTCAGCAGAACAAAGTTCTCTAATTCATGGTTGTCCTGCTTGCGCATTATTTTTCGTGAAACTTTCTTGCTTAGTCAGAACAATACTAACGGAGGATAGGTGTCAGAGTGAAGCAAAAAACACTTGGATCAGTTGAAAGCCTATGCTTTCACAACTATGGGTATGCAAGTGACCAAGATTTTAGTTCAAGAGAGTATATAAAACATCAAAAAACGCTCAAAGTGGAACGCCGAATCCACCACAAATCCAGCCCCATTTCAACTTTGTCTTTGTTTCTATATTTATTCTAAACGCATATTAATATGGGTAGACACTCTACATATTTAATTGAAATAAGCTTGTTAGCTAGAATTTTGCTGAATTCGTATTATTTCCTGTGCTGCCAAGTGCCAACAGAACCGACATTTGAAGAAATAAAAACAATCAACGAAGATGCAAGCAACAAAGAGTAAGAGAGAAAGAAAAAATTATCTACTTGGGTTCTAGAGGAAAGTGTTTGTGTTTGCAAAGCTTCGCTACGAACTCTTCCTCGTCCCTGAATTCGAGCTGTAGATGGGGATTGACATAAGCCACTAATGGGTTGTAGCTGCCGAAGCTGGAGCAGCAACATAGTCCAAAGAGACCGGCTGTTTGGTTTGTGGTGTGGCGTCTTCGACTTATGAATGGTAAATGGAGCCCGCTCCCGCACCTCAGAAGTCAGAACAAGCTTCGTTCTTCCTTCTGTATTAACTCTTAAATCAAATTCGAAGGCTAAGTATTGATCTCGGATAAACGGAAGCGTGCGTTCAGGCATGCGACACGTTAACGACCTTTCTATTTCGTTAAAGCTTCCTTCCAATTATCGTGATCCTCATGAACTTTTATTGACCGCCCGTATTCTTTTTATTTTTTTTTTACGTCCGTCTTATATTTCTATGTTATATGGTTTTTATCGAGTTCTGGTTGGCTCCACTCCACAGATCGAGGATGGAGTTATGTCAAAGGATGGACTTATATGACATTTCCAACTAAACAGTGTTCATTTAAATTTAATTCAAGAATTATTTTTTTGGTATATCTATTTTATCCAGTCACAATTTAAGTTGAGTTTTAGTGAGAATAGCCAATTTTTTATATAAATTTCTGTTATTTTGTGTATCTTAATGTTATTTTTTATTAAATTTTATTGGTTTATTATTATTTTTGTATTATTTTTAGGTAAAATTAAAAAAAAAAAATGAAAAACTCTTATAGTAAAATTATAAAGTAAGGAAAATTCTAGATTAGTACCCTGTACTTTGGGTCTAGTGTCACTTTGGTCCCCGAACGTTAAAATGTGACAATTCAGTACCCAAACTTTCAAAATGTATCAATCTAGTACATGCCATTAATCTGCCCGTTAACCATTCGTTAAGTGTCATTTGAAAAGACACAAATACCCCTCAGGTGTCATCTAATTCTCTTTATCAATCATTCAAACATTGACAAAAAATGAGTAGTCCCAAATCCTTACCTCTTCTATTCAAGAAAGTTGGGGTCACCAGAATGCCCATTGAGACGTAACCCCAACTTTCTTGAATAGAAGAGGCAAGGATTTGAGACTATTCATTTTTTGTTAATGTTTGGATGGTTGATAAAGAGAGTTAGATGATACATACAGGGTATTTGTGTCTTTTCAAATGATACTTAACAACTGGTTAACGGGCTGGTTAATGACATGCACTAGATTGACATGTTTTGAAAGTTTGAGTACTGAAGATGACACTCAAGGGGCATTTGTGTCTTTTCAAATGTCACTTAACGGGTAGTTAATGAATTGGTTAATGACATGTACTGGATTGACACATTTTGAAAGTCCGGGTACTAAATTGTCATGTTTTAAAGTTCAGGGACCAAAGTGGCACTAGGCCCAAAGTACAGGGTACTAATCGGGAATTTTCCCTATAAAGTATAAACCAATTTGTTGTTTTGACCCTAACAAAAGCCTCCCCTATAATTTTGAAAAACAAAAGTGCAAATACATTATTTCCCTTCGCTTTTCATTTTAGTAATAAAGACATTGAAATTATCAAAATACCCCTATCATTGTTAAGGCATTATTGTACACAATTTAAAGTTTCAACTTTACCCTCCACTAATTTTTTTTGCCAGACAACTTTCAAAGAGTAATTCTCCCTACTTTTCTTAGACAAAGGTAAAAAGGTTGAAATGAAGTAAAAGGAAAGAAATCTTTTTTTCAAGGTATTTTAGTAAATTCACAATGAATGCAATTGGTTAAGGGTAAATTTGGTACTTAACAAGGAATAATGCATTACATTTGCATTTTTTATTTGGAATGCTATTGAAAGAAGGGTATTTGCACCTTTTTTTCAAAACAATATGGGAGGTTTTGTTAAGTTAAACACATGGGAGTTTCAAAGGATTATTAGAAAACCCAATGAGGCTTTTATAATTTTCCCTATTTTTAAATAGAATTTAAATTGATTTTAAATTAATTAAACTATATTTAAATTAATGTTTTTATTAATCCTTATTAAGTTTAATTAACTATATTAAGTTTTTATTTTTCAATGGAACTTAAGTTGGTTTTAAATTAGTAAAAACTTAATTATAAAAGTAATAATTGTTAGATAATTTTGTATTAGCTTTTATATTAATTTTAAATTGATATTAGTTTTTATGTTTATCTTGTTTTTTTTATTAATTAAATTATTACTATTATATTAATAGAAATACTTTTATCAATAACAGTAATTAATAATTATTTTTATTTTCTTTTAGTAACTTATTAAATTACTTTTATTATGGTTAATTAATTTTTATTGTTTTCAAATAGAATATAAATGGATTATGATTTGTATGATGTTTTATTCAATGTTTTTGACTTGTCATTGACTCAAATGGTTAAACCATTCAAACCATCACTCAACCATATTTCTAATTTTGGGTTTCCTAAAACCCACCTTGTTCAACCTAGAGGTTTAACCATTGACTCTTTTGACCTAACCATTGGATCACAGGTTACAAAATACAATGTACTGAAAACTTTTAGAAGATTTGGCCAAAAAAAAGAAAACTTCTAGAAGATTTAACTTTGTGCTTGGTTGTTTGATTGGGGATGACCTTTTTTTTCTTATCTTAGATAACTTTTTGCTATCTTTGCAGCCCCGCTATATATATATAAACCCTCAATTATTAACTTTTTTGGTAACTAATTCAATTATTGACTTCAAATTTCATTTTTTGACGCTTATATTTATAAAACAAATAGATCTTATATTTTACATTGATGTGTTATAGTTTGACTCATCCAACCTGGACAATTGAAATGTTGGCCTATGACTTGGAGGCAAAAACTATTCAGCCTCAAAGTTAGTTTTTAAAACACCAAATTTATTTGTTAGGTGAAGTAAATAATATTTATTCTAAAATGCAAATTACTTGATTAATTAACTTAAAAATTAACTATCTTTTATATTAAAGTAGATTATTTTGCCTAATAAATCATTGAATACCTCCATTTTAGTAAAAATCTTTATTAATAATTACAATTTAATATAAATATATATATAGTTAAATTGAAATAGATATAAACATAGATAAAATTAATGAATATTATGTTATTGAAAGAGAGAAAAAGAGTTAATAGTGAGTTAATGAGGAGAGTTAAAAGTCTTAAAGGTGATTGGACATTTGTGTTATTTTATTTAATTTTAAAATTCAAAAATTCAAAAAAAAAACAGAAAAAGATAAATACCTCTAAGAAGAAACTAAAAAAAAATAATACATAGATATGGATTTAGATTTTTTTTTTGTAAATAATACATAGATATAGATATAGATTTGGGTTATTCCATCTCATTATCAGTGAGGGAGAGACTCCTTGGACACCGGACAGCCCCATCCTTGAACTGGACCAACTATACATCATAGATCATACAGTAAGAATTAAGCAAAATTATGAATGTCAAAATATAGAAAATGAGTAAATAACAACGGGCATTAGCGCGAAGGCCAGAATCTTTGCATCATTACATAAAATAAAGATTATCAGGTAGGAAATACGCAGAATTACGACCTCAATAAGACTATAAACCAAATCCTTTATGATACATACACACACTTACACTTTAATGGCTGAAACAGAAAAAAAAAAAGGATAATAGGATTAACATAACCAAAAATAAAAACACCAACCACTTAACAGCCACATAAACCCACCTTCTCCTTCTTCATATTCTGCACTCTGCAGGTGTGACTTGACTATAATGTATGCAACATAAGTACATAACAATGGGAAGGGGAATCCAACCTTCTGTAGACTCCCCAATTCTGTGCCCCCTGTATCAGTCAAGACTCAATAAAATTCGTACATGTTTCATGGATTAACAGCTCTTAACTACCCACTGTAGCTCGTGGATTTGTCCCAGCAGAAGGGGCCAGCGAGGAAGCAAACCTGGAGACAAGCACAGCCTCATTGCTAACAGCCTTGGAAGCTGCAACATCTTCCAGGCGCTTCCAAGTGCATTCCCGCTTTTCCCGTGTCTCTTTCTCCTTTGCTTCATCTTCCTGGAATCTGACCAAGCACTCCTCAAAGAGCTCTTGGTCGGCATCTGAAAAGATCTTCCTTACATTCAATGTCAGGCTTTGGACCGCCTGGTTCCAGTGGCTTCGGGTGTTTCTCTCTAAGGCCGGAAAGATTATAGGCAATATCACCTTACGATTCTGTGTGATCAAATTCCTTATATGGTCATTATTCCAAAGGAATAATGCACGCTCTGCCACCTGCAGACAAAAACCATAGATGATGTATTACCGCTTTGAGCACGGGAATTTTATTCAACAACAAGGTCTCAATCAGGAAAAATGTAATGGAATCTTAACATGCAGATCTGCTTAAACCATGATAACTTTTTGAGCAAAGGAACTTAATTCAACAACTCAATCAGGAAAAATGGAATTTTAACATGAAGATCTGCTTCAGTTTTTCCAAAGATAAATCGCATGCATCTTTCAGAAAAGTACTAATAAACCTCCTCCATTTGCTACGCACAATATGCTTTTAGTGGTTCTTCCAATGTTATAAACCATCAAAAAGGATATTCTTCCAAACTGTCCCTTCAAAATATAACAGTTCATATTCAAATAATTAAAAATGGAAAAAAAATGAAATCAACAAAACTTTGAAAAGTAAGAAACCAGAAGGGAAAAAAACAGAACTATGAAAGTAGATAGAGCCAAACTAAGAATCAAACATCATGTAAAAATGGTAGTTTCATATCATAATAATATCAAATAATTTTAAAAACAATTTAAACACCACAACAGTTAAATTGTGAGAGGTTCTGCAGAGTCCTGAACCATTATTTCTTAATTTCTATCACTATTCTAATATCCTCAGATATGCCATTTCTGAACTATGACCTCTCAGTCTTACTCCCTTAGGTGTTGAGCAGAAGTGATGTGTGCACTTACCAACCTTATGGAAAACATTATTCATAGCTCACAAACCATAGATTACTCGGGGATGTCGATAGGAATGAGTTGCTGGATTTTGACTACTTTTGTAGCTCTTGCTTTGCTGCCTATTCGTTTATTTTGTACAGAATCTCACTGTATAAATAGCATACTGTATACTTCTTTTTTACATAAATACAATACTTACCTAACATTTTCCAAAAAACGAAAATAGTATGCAAAGCATGAATAGGGATCCGGGTATCATAGGGAAAAGGTATAAAATGGAAAGAAAAGAACAATAACACCAACCCTCATCCCCATACAAACTTCAACCTTTCATATTCACAGAATCCATTTAGACTCAAAAAATAACCTAAAGGCTAAACTAACTCCTAATTGTTATAAAATTAAAGTGAAGCCAATATATAGTCCATACACACTTAAATATGGACTCTAATTCCTAAAATTCCAAGTACGATGGCTCATTGACTAAACACGAGCTTGGATAATTTCAACTAGGAAGCTGGCCTAAAATAGCTTCTAACCACTTTAAAGCAACCCAATGGGTAACCCATACATTTTTACTCCTAAAATAATTATAGTGACTCATTACTAATCCTACTAAAACTAACTTAATGTAGAGAAACCAGAAATTACTGAAAATAGTAATTTGCAATTTTACTATAAATGGAAATTATGAGAATCACTATAAATAGCAAGTCCAAAGGTTATCAAACACTAAGTAGTTATTCTAACGATAAATCTCTATAAGACTTAGAAACCCTGTCCCTAAGGCACCAACAAATAAGAAGATAAATTTGAAAAGACTCAGAACAATAAAATCTAAAACATCCAAAATTACAAAATTGCCACTGGATGAGGAATTAGGAGAAAACTGATTTCTTTCTCCATGGATTCTATCATTGCTTCCATACCTAAATCAGATCCTTTTTTCTTTTTGCTTTTTTGCCTTTAACTTTGGTACTAATTCTCATTCCTTCCCATTCTACCATCTGTTAAACTTCCACTTGCCAAGGCAACAATGTGCAAGAAGCATTGTTTTATGCTAATCTACCATCTCATGTCAGTCTATCTTCAATTATTATTTTTATTGATAATGGTTAAAATTTTATTGATTGGGTGGAAAGAACAATAATGCAGATAATATGCCAAGCACCCCAAGTAACAGCTACCCCCCCCCCCCATTGTACACTTTTTACAAGCCTCTTTTTTCCCATTTATTGAATGCTTACATTATTAATCAAAGGAAATTTTAGATAAAACTTACAATATAAGGCATGTTGCTAGGTTAGGCTCATCAAACCAAATGTTTTCCCCCCTTAGAAAGGTGAAAATACCAAACAAAAAAAGCAGCATATTAAGTCTAAACCAATCTTTTCTCAAATTGAGAAAATAAACAAGGTATTAGTAAATTAACCAAGTTTCCCTGTGAACTGTGCAATAGGTAAAGGAAATGAAACCACAAATAGTCACTTCCAAAAAAGCAGCAGATTAGGTCTTATGGCTATGCTTATCTTTCCTCAAATTTAGAGAAGAAACTAAAATAGAATTAAGATAAAAAATTGTCTAATTTTACCCGTGAACTGTGCAATTGGTAAAGAAAATGAAACCATGGATAAAAGATACATCAACTTGCTCCAACTTAAAACATGCAATAAATATGTGTAACCGACCAATCAATCTTAGTTTTCATGATAGTGATCCTACTGCTATCAGAAGATGAAATGGAGGTGTTTATGATTCACGTTATACAAGTGAAAGTACAGACATAACAATATTGGATGCCATATCACTAGCTTATAATCTACTAATTTAAATTAGAACACAATAGGGCATCTGCATGATAATTGACAAAGGTATAGAGAGAAACCTACATAACTAAGCACCTCTAATTCATTCAAGAGTACCATAAAAAATTGCAATCTGTATCACAAAGTTCAATATGAAGGAGTTTGAAAAATAAATGTTTAACAAATAAAAGTCATCAAACAGAAACAGAAAAGCCAAAATAAGTTCACATCAAAAACCAACTACAAACATTAAAGACAATGACAAATTCCACCAAAGAAAAAAATATGCTAGAACAAAGATATTAGGTAATGGCAATAATGGAAAAACTATAATTTGATAAAGATAATGAATGATCTAGGAATCATATCCTTTAAGGTGAAAATGATAATCAGAATTTGCAAATCTGGGCTGGGAAGGGATTTTTTGTATAGTGATCATACTTTGTCAATGTAGTGGGCTTTGTCTTTTGTTTTTTGTTGACAAGGCTTTGTACATCTCACCCCCTTTTTGATCTTTAATGAAATCTGTTTCTTTTCTCAAAAAAAAATTGCAAATCTGAAATTAATACCTGGAAATGTGAGCTGTTGAGGCACCGTCCAACCTGGCGGAACAAAGGCACCATGCAACGCTGGAATTCTGCTGCCTGAGTGGCCTCGAGAACTTCCTCCAGCTCACTGAGGAACATAACCTCCTTTGAACTATTAGTAATGGGCCAGTATTTCAGAAGACCTCTAATAACTATATCAGCTAGCTTGAAATCTTTCTCCACGAACTGAGAGATGCAGTAAGAAAGCTGTTGATGGTACATCGATACACATTTGGGCTTGTGAAGAGGGATCAATGCCCGAACAAGGAAAAGTTTGTGCTCTTCCTTCAGTGGCAAAGCAAAACCATTGATTATACTGCCCAATATCTCAAGTAATTCTGCAATCCCATTGTGCTTCTCTGTCTCGAAGATGAAACGGTAGAATATATTGTTGATGGCTTTTCTGATGAATGGGCGGTGGACCATGAATTTCCCATAGATGCGGTGGAGTATTGTCTTCAGGTACTCCCTCTCCCTCTGGTCTTCAGAATCAAAGAGATCAAGTAACCTCAACACAAATGAATGATCAATATATCTCTTTGCTAGCTTAGCATCTGTCTCTGACGAGGCAACAAATCTCAGCAGAAATTCATACACAATCTGAAGATGGGGCCATCCAGGCTCCGTTGTAGGCTCCTCCTCCTCTAGATCATATGTTTCTGGGAGCTTGTTCTCGTGGTTTGAGGAGGGAAATGTGCGAAACAAATTGGCAGCTACCATCTTAGTAATCTCCTGCATCGAAATCTCATTGAACTTGGACGTGACTGAAGCAATATAGTCAACAAGCTCTAGCAGGGTCTGCCTCTTAATGTCTTTCTCCTTCAGGTTCTTGGAGGGATCAGTGAAGTCAAACAAAGTACAGCACATGTTCAACTTCCGAATAAACAGATTCTGCTTCTCTGAGCTTGGAACATCCCGAAAACTGGGTAGTGCCTCGTAGGCAGTAGAAGCTAACACCGGACCCACTTGGGAAGTGGCAGAGCCAGATTTCTTCCCTTGGTTTGATTTATTCACACCAGACGAGTGCGGTGCAGAAGCTCCATTGTTAGTGCGGGAAGCACCAGAACCTGAATTTGGAGCTTTTCCGGTAATCGAACCACCCTTTGAGTTGTTGAGGCCACCAGTAACTGAGTTTGGATAATGCGAAGAGTTTATAGATGAAGGGACAGTAGCCCCTCCGTCACTATGGTTAATGTCATTAGGCGACGATTTTGATGAGGGTTTCCGAGGTAGCTTCCCAAGTATTTGCTTAATCATATTTTACGGACCCTAACACCTAATCCTCTTCCTAACTTTTCTCAACATTCAACACCCTTCTTTTCAAGATACCCCCTTCCAGACAGAACGCGTAAACAAAGCTTCCACCTTCTAACTTCTCAGAACGAAGGCATTCTTATAAATTCACCGAAAGGTGCTGTTGAACAAGAACATGTGTTCGAACTAAAGCCTATTTAGACGTCAGAACCCTATCCCTTCGCCCAAACAGCGAAATCGGAAAATGGAAGACTCTCTGCGCATGGAAATTATTCAAATGCCCATAATTCGGATTCTAACGACCCCTCGGAATCAACCAAGAAGCAAATGTAATCGAAATTGGAGAAGCGGAGATGCGTGCGGAAATGTGAAAAGCAGTGACAAAATAATAACAACAATGAAAATTCGGTAAATAACAAAAAATGAAGAAAATGACTTACATTGATAGCTCGATCGATGATCTGAGATGAACGAGAAACCCTAGAAGTCGAGCTTCAGGTTCTTAGTAATTTCTGCGAATGATATCCATAAACCCTAATAATCTCTAGTCTAGTCATAACCTTTACGAACAAGCTCTCCTCCTCCAACGATGCAAATCGACGGGGAGAGAGAGTGAACGCGAGGGAAACAACACAAGTCCTCTCGCGCTGTAATGACAAATAAAAAGATAAAATTAACAATAGTAATGAGAATGAAAATAAATAAATAAACTCTCTCTCTCTCTCTCTCTGAATGACGAATATTTTCAAAATTAAACGATAAATTGAATATTCAGAGGCTTGGGATTTCTGAGTCAGACCAGTAAGAAAAATCTTTTTCCGACGACGTGGAACGTTGCTGGCTGCCTCGGCCTTAGTTCCTCGAGTTCACCCGCTTATACCACTGCCTCCTAACAGAGAAATGTATGACAAACGACTTACTCTCATGCCACGTGGAGAAGATAATGACTTAATTGGCACTTGATGTGAGATTTAAGTGAGTATTTACTAATATATATGATTTTGTTTTACAAAACAAAAGTAACTGCCACATCAGTAATATAACGTGGCAATTTTTGGAGGTGTTCTTACAATTCCACCGTAATGGCACGTGTAATAAACAAGCCATGTTGTATACCTATACCGCATGTGAGACTTTTCACATTAGAAAGTTGCTGAAAATAAAAGAAAAAATGCTAAGGGGTGTAACTATGTCACCAGTAGGGGTGTTCACATTAAATGTCAAACCTACCAAATCGGCCCAATCCAATCCGAGTTAGTCGATTTTTTAAAACCATTGGTTGGTTTCAGTTTTGATGAGAAAATAAACCGATAACTTGGTTCGGTTTCGGTTTTCATGTAATCAAATCGAATCAAATCGATCTTATATGTTTAAATAATTATTAATTAGTCTTTACCCTATATGTTAAATTTTGATATTTTTATTTGTGTTTTATTTGAACTTTGAAAAAAAAAATTGGTTATTTATGATAAAAACTAAAAAGTAAAACCAATACAAATATAATACAATGGTACAATATTTAATTCAGTTTTGTATAAATTTAAATATATATTGACAAAAAAATCAGTTTTGCATAAAAAACTAATTGACTTAAATATATATTTTGATTTTGCATAAAAAATAAAAAGAAATAAACTTAAATATAAATAGATATTTTAGTTTAAAATATATATAGAAACGGACTAAACCGATAAACCAACCCAAACCAATCCTTCATGTTTGGGTCGGTTTTGCTTCAGAGTTGGTTAGTTTCGGTTTTTGTCGATAAGTAAACTGACTAGATCGGGTTGGTTGAAGAAAATGACTCAAACTAACCCAATCCGACCCGTGAACAACCCTAATCACCGGTCTAGTGTGCAAACTGATTTTAGACCATGTTGATTTTGGATTAGGTTGGAAAATGTCAATTTGATTAGTTACCATGTGTATAATTCTGAAGTTTTTCAGATATTATATCCATTTTTAATAGATACACATACGTTTCCATATAAAATATGCCATATTTTCAGTTTGTATTTTTTAAATAAAATTTATGTAACTTTTGATTGGTTTTTCAACATAAATCTCACTCTGTAAATAACTTTTCCTTTATCATACTTAGGTCATGTGCATATTTACTGGAGCTCCACCCTTAAACTACAAATTATATAGGATTTTCATCACGTTTTGATGTTTTTTTCTTGTAGTTCTTTATTTGTTTGTTGGTTGTATTCATCCTTTCTACTAAAAAGTCTGTTGGTTTCGAAGTTATGGGATTATTATGCATGGAAGAATGAGTGACACAGTTTTTAGGGTTCGTTTGGCTTGTAGGAATAGGGGTATAGAATTGGAATCTCCCATCCATTTGGTTAGGCATAATGACATTTTGATTCCTATTTCTAGTGAAATGGGATTCTCCAAATTGAGGGAGTAGCCATTTCTGGCCTCTCCCTTGGAAATGAGATTCTCATTTCAATCAGCTAGAGCCTAGAGGAGTGGGGGAAGGAGATAAATGACACTTCAAAACCCCTGAAATCTTATTTCTCGTTACCCAACTCCAATCCTCCCTCTTTCCATCTTTGCCAATGCCGCTCTCCACAAATCGTTGAAGCTTCAAACTCAAACAATATATAAGACTGCATCTGGCATTCTTTATTTTAAGAACTTATCTTCTTTTTACAATTATAAAAGTTTAGTGTTTATAGAAGCATTTTAACAGAAAAAATGAAATAAATCCTTAAAATAAGAAATGTCAAATACAGCCTAAATCACCATCGATCATCTCCAACCCATGGATCTACCTTTTCCAGGTGTATTCTTCTCTCCTTTTTCAATCGTTAGGTCTCTTTGTTGGCTCCCTCCCCCGATTGTTGAATCATCCAATTCCTTTCATCTTTGGCTCTAACAACCATTGTTTCATTTTCTAACTTTTTTTGTCAACACAAGTGATCTGTCATTAGGGCCAACTGGCAAGTTACTTGGGCTTGGCACGCTAAATACTCGAACTTGGCTTCATGATAATCGAGTCAAGTCAAGCTTGACTCAAGTTGAATAATTAGTTTAATCGAATTCAAGCTTCGTAATACTCAGCTGAAGTAGCTTGCGAGTCTAATTGAGCTTCTAATAAAATATAAATTTTTAATATATTTTTATTTATAATTGTAATAACAATGTGCTTATAATTGGCTTGAGCCAAGTAAGCTCGAATATCTTACAAGTAGCAACTCGAGTTGAATTCAAGTATGAAACTCAAAACTTGATCGAACTCCAAGTTTTTGAGTAGAGCTCATGACTTTTCAAGACTTCAATGACCAATCTCCAAGTTTTTGAGATTTCATTAATCAAATAGGCGGAAGACAAACGATTCCGATTCCAATTTTAGAGGATTTCGATTCTGAATCCGACTATACACCAAGCAAAAGAAAAACATGTCAAACCATTTGTATTGCAATGCGTTTTTTCATGCACCCTTTGTCTAAAAAACAAAAACTGCATAAACTCTAGAGCTGTAAATGGTATCCGTTTGGTTAGAATTCGAACCATTTGTAGCACCAATAGTAGAATTAATTCCTTTTATGAAATAGATATTTTATATTTAATTCAAGAAGAAATAGTAAACCAAGGCAGTAGGTGTTGACTTGATCTTTTACAATTGTCTTTTTCTTTCTCATTAAATTACTTTATTTGTACTAAATCTCTCTAGACATCTCCTAATTTAATACACACCCTAGCTCCAATTTCTCTTTTTATTATTTCTTTGAAAGCCCTTAAGCCAAATTTCATTTCACGAGAAATAAAACAATTGAATTACATCATCTCGTAACTCCATAAGCCAATGGTAGAGGAGATGAAAATCAATATTACATCCAATACTTTTATTATTATAGTCCCGGCCCCATCAAGCTTTGGTAACATCAGGGCTGTTTATGGGTTGGTTTATTGTGGTTTTACCTGAGATGGAAACCGAAATCGATCCAATGTTAAGCAAAACCAACCTGGTCGGTTTGAGTCGGTTTGGATCGGTTTTGATTTTGTTCCTGTACAAAAATGACATAAAAGGCTAAAAGAAAATATCTATTCTGAAAACTGAAGTTTTTAAAATATTTTCTGGAAATATATTTAAAAAGTTAGAATTAGAATAGAAGACAAAAGTTATCAAGAAAATAGAAAGTCAAACTGTTTTATAGAAAGAAGGCTGAAATTTGTATATTTCAATAAACTTTCTAAGTTCTAATCTAAGTAAAAAATGACACATAATTCTAATTGTAATTGCCTAATTGATTGCCTATTTGGTGTAAAAGACTATAGAAACTAGGATAGAGACAACTTAGTTAAATAGGAACTAGAAGACTAGGTTAGGTTGTAATTAGGAATTAGGACAAAGACAACTTAGTTAAGTAGGAACTAAGTCGATTCGGGTCGGGTCAGTTTCGGTTTTCACACAAGAAAACCAAAACCGACCCGAACTATCAATTTATGAATTTGTACAAACCGAAACCGACCGGTGCTTATGAAAACCCGGCCAAATCGGGTTGGTCGGTTTGGTCGGGTTGGGCCTTCTTATGAACAGCCCTAGGTAACATTGTGCTACTTTAATGGCATCTAAATAACAATTTGGTGGTTAATCATACATCTTGTTCTTATAAATAGGGTAGCCCATGGGCTGGCCCATTTCACTTTTAGGCGAAACTGTTCTATGACTTGGTCTATCATTTCTAACTTCGGACCGGTTTGGCAAGTCTTTCTAAGAAGATCTTCTGGTAGTTCTAACAGTCAAAAGATGCATTGAGCTTTTGTATAAAGATCTGAACAGTCTGAAGTTAGTTTGGCATATACACGTCTTTCTGTGCATCTTTTCATGTCTTTCTGCACGAGAATAAAATATGAAAGACGCAAAAAACTTTATTTGGAGCTTCTCGTATTTTTTCGGCACCCCAACTTTGATAACTAGATGTTCCGTGAACCAAACGGTAATAGACCGAAAATCGATCTAGCTGACTTATAAACAGCCGAAAGACCGTATGAAAAAACGTGATAAATAGACCCTTCATTAATTAGGTCATCTGTTGCGGAGGAGATGTAACCTTGTGATTGTTGAATGAATGTGCCTTTTTTTGGGCCAGTGACGCCCCAATTGAAACTTCGCCATCTGAATGCATATCACTTCTTTCTATTTTCTATTTTTGATTGAAAAATAACTTGCTTTGTGTTAGTATTCGTTGTCAAAGTGTCGACTGGCCATTCAGTTGGGACCAAACAGCATCTCTTGAAAACCTTTTTGCTGAAAGACAAAACAATGGTTCCTTTGTTGCACAAACTGACAAATATCTAAAGAGTCTTTCCACTTCAACTGTCATACGGTCCTAAAATTCAGCTGTCATCAAATGACCCCTTTTTGTCGCACAATCAGCTAAATGGTCATTCAATTCAACGCACGAGCATCTGATGCCCTAGGCATAAAATGGAGTGGATCACATTTGCCATCAATCTGGTCCATATCATATCCACAGTTAATGCCTTAATGGGTTTGGTGTCTTGACTCAGGAAAGATCCATGTTCCAAAATGGACCTGATCCAGGTTCGATAATGTTGACCTGAACAGAATTTAGGGTGCTGTTATACCAACCAATTCGAACATGTAAACTGATTGAGTGTGGATCCGTTTGACTGGATCTCATTCGGACCCAATTCCAGCTAGAGGCTTAACCCTATTCAAATGTCAGTCCGGAATCCGATTAGGCCTGTTTCATGTCCCATTTATGAAGGCCTAAAACTTGATGAGTGCCTTGCTAGTAGAACTGTAAGTTGCAGCCTGAATTAACTTGATAGATGGGACCTGATAATTGTCAATCCAAA